CATCTCGAACATGGAGCATGAAGCTGCAATATCGTCGGCCGTGCTTGTGGCCGCTCTCTTTGCACATGTCAAATTACAGTAGTACAGACCCCATGCAAACAGCAGCGATATCAGCACCAACGAACCTGCACTGGCCATCGACTACCACCTCAAAAGTTGACAGACTCTGAGTCGAATGTGTTGCTTGGACCTGGCGCGCAGTTGGAAACCGTTGCCCGTGCAGTGACATTAAGGGACAGGGAGATGCAAATAAAGGCTGTGCTCATGTGTCTTTCTTGGGCTGGAAACCAGGTCAGTCCTTCCACTTGGATGTGGAACGAGGAGCTGTCCCAAGATGTCAGACAGCTTTTGCGAGAGCGCAGCTCGACTTCACTTCTGTATCCCGTCGTCACGTTGCACTGGTATGACACTACTTTCCTCTGCCCAAGGCCAGCGCTGGGCTCGGGACATTGTCGTTGCGGGACTGCCAACCATGAATCGATCACGCATATTCAACTGGCCAGTGCAGAGAATCTTGCACAAATATTGGAAGCTGTCCTACGAAGAGACTCTAAGCTGATATGAGGCATTCTTGTCATCGAGACTCGGTCTCCATGCAGTTCATGTTGGCATTCGGGTACTGGCCAGGTATGCCACTGGTCACGAAACATCGCCGTTCCTACCGATGGCGCAGTTCTGGGCAGTAGGAGACACGACTTCTGGCACGCGCATATACAGCTCAGCTGTCTTCAAGAGACCCCTGGATGCACTGTGCTTCTTCACACTGCTGTCGAAATTTTGCCAGAGCGGGGGCTAGCAGCTAGCAGGGAACAGTCGCAGTTTCACGATCTTTGCCTTAGGCCTGCTCGCAAGTCTGGCCAGACGCGAGTCTGAGTACACTGCTGCGTTACCGCGGTCGGAAGGTGGCGGCCCAAGTCTGGTCACTGTGCCATGAGCTGCTGTTTGAGCGACGAGAAGCGTGGAAGAATACATCCGTACGGCCGACGTCTCGAAGTCCTACGGAGTGAAGCTTCACAGTTTTAAGCGGGGGTTTAGAATGGCTATATGTTTGTGGACCCTATCCACAGTACAGGTGCTGGTGGACTTTCTGGTGGCAGCGAGGCCTCTGTAAGTTTGACACCACAACACAGCCTGAATGCCAGAGTGTACAGTACATTACAGTACAATAGGGGTAATGAACAACATGAGGGAGTAAGCTCGGGGCATGGACGTGAGCCGGGACACTGCTGGACTCCCGACGCGGCTGCAAGCCTGTTGCACATAAGAACAGGTCATGTGCCGCGAAGCATGGACACGAAAAGACCACCTCAGGACCGTTGCAATCATGCAAGGAGACTGGATAGCTGCCGGGGCTGCCAGGGATGGGTGTGTCGATACACTCGTACCAACGAGATCTGAGAATGGCGGTGAACACGCCCAACCGAAGCAACAACGAAACCAGGTAGGCAGCCACGGCGAAAATGCGAAGCCAGGGTTGACAGAAACAGGGCTTCTGAAAGAAACAGATGTAGCCACACCAAGAGACCTGACAAAGATCCAGAAGAATCGACGAGCTCCGCACCTCGATCCTGGAAGGGCAACTTCTTGAGTTCTGCACACAGGCCGCCGAAAACTGGCTTGTGATGCTGGATCTTCTTTCCAAAGAAGCTGGCCTGCGTGCTTACACATTCTTGCGCCTCAGTGACATCGGAGGGCCGCAGGAGTTTTGTTTCTGCTCCATGTAGCGTTGCGTAAAGCTGGGGTGGGGGAGGAATGGGGCATCTTTGGAGAACGTGTACCAATCAGCGACTTGGCGCAAGAAATGCCAGCCAATGCTGACCATCTGAAAAAGGGCTGCTCTGAGACTCTGGCCTAAGGCAGCTTCCCTTTCGCCGGGACTGTCGAGAACCTTTCACATTGAGGCGGCTCGATTTCTCGCTCGGGCGAGTGGTGCTCGAGGTGGGCCAAGAGATGCCAAGAGAGGCTCTCATGAGACTTCCTTGATGACTCTCATGACTTCAGAGGTCCGTTGCAAGAACACTGTCTTTTTCCGACTTCCGGCCTCGCGAGCAGCTTCACTCAGAATCACGGTGTCGTCGTCAGTTGGTGCACCAGGAGCATGCGCGCATCGGAGCATGAAGGGTTCGGTGCACCCTCGGGGACTTGTCCCGCGTGTCGCGCAGGAAGGCTTTGAAGGAGATGTTCCGTGATGCCTTTTCGGCTGCATTGCGTTGGCAAAGCATTCAAATGATCGTGGGCAATCAGCACTTGCAGGTGGGTGGCTGGTGGCTATCATTGGATCCGCTCCGTCACATCATAGTGCCGGTTTCCGCCAGCCTACGCCCCAGGGCAACGATTGCTGCTATACGTTTTGAACAAACACTCGCACACAAAACGCAGGTACTCTCAGATTGTGTGCTCCAAGGTGTACTCAACCTCTACAGGAGCGGAGAGACGGAATTGTCACAACCCTAGACTCAGACACCAGACATGCAGAAGCTGAATCTGAGCGTGCATCCTCCAGGTTTCCATGGGATGCAGACATTGATGCTAACTTCATTGCATCACACGGAATTGTCATCGGCGAGTTTCTGGAGAAGCACAAGGACACCTTGAGGACAATGGGCAGCTCGGTCTCATGGACGTCGCTTTTGGCCCATCATCACCTCGATCCTCGAAAGGCCGTTGTAGATCAAGTGCAGACCGCCAGGCTACGACTATATTCTGAGGGGCGATCGCGTTGTCTTCAAGACCCTAGCTGACACTGCTCGCATGGACATTTGGCTTTCGGGCCCGCGCAGGCCTCAGCTCGTAGAGGATTCAGCTCCTTGTCGTTTCAATCTGGATTCCGCAAATCCTGTGCTTCTGATTCTGCCGACTGCCCGAAACCCCCAACTGCCGGGCGCAGTGCGTCAAGGCGATTTGTTCGACCTGCCGTCTAAAGCCTTGTAAAGGAAGAAAGAGAGAACGAAGTCAGACAGACTCTGCCAGGCCAGCTTTCAGAAAGTCAGCTGTCCTTTCATGCAAAAATAAGAGAGGCCGGAGTAAGAAAGAACCGAGGCAAGAGGTCCGAGCCTACGACATCCGAGCCAGGCCACCGCAGTTTAGGGTGCCATGGCAGATGCCACCCAGCGTGCAGCACAGATGCCCCGTGTGCACATGAAGCACGCAAACACTGCATCCAGGCTTTGTGGGCTTCGCGTGAACTTCTTTCGAGATCAACTTGCAGGTTCTGTGTGGTGGCTTGGTCTGCAGGGCGCGGGCCAATTCAGACGCACTCACTGATGCCACACTGCCACAGAGTTAGACTCAGACTCTCCATACAAGAACAGGCAGGCCAGCCTGCAGAGAGCAACAGCCCTCAAATCAAGAGAATTCCGGAATCTCGCCACCCAAGCCACCCAGTCTTCACAGGGCTACTGCAATGTGTTGTGAGATCGTGCCGCGACTTCTCGGAAGGAACTGCGGATGGTCATGCTTCATTGTTTGATGTCGGACAAAAGTTGGGCATGTAGGTACACGCCGCGGCTTCCAGAGAAGGCGAGATGAGAAGGTTGACTTATATGCTGTAGCAGAGTGGGTCTGCAACGATCCTCAGTACACCGGTCAGAAACCTGGAAATCCATGATGCCCAGACGACACACTGATCATGACGGCTACATCTAAGGTACTACCGGCCCGGTGAGAAGATTTACGGCAACACCCGGGGCCAACTGCTACACTGCCGGTGGAAGGGGCACAATGCTTGCCTGCCAGACTGTGTCCGGAATGGCTTGGGAGTAGGTAGGGAGGCTTGGCATGCACAACGGACTAGGGAATCCTGCCCAGAACCCCGCCCCCCCTCTTCTGGGAGCCTTTCTCAGACACATCCCTCCAGTGGCGAAGTTCATATAAAGTTTGCTATGCACTCCAGCATTCCGTTGCACCTCCTGTGGCCCTGTCTCCCTCCAGGTACTAGCTAGTGGTGGCAGCCCCTCATGAATTGAAAGATCAGGTCGCCGCAGAGACCATCTTCTGGTTGCAGCACGGACATGCCGTCGTCGTGCCATGCTTTTGTGCACTTGCTAGCGTCCTCGGCGCTCGTGTCTCGTTACCTTGTGTCGCTGTCCTACCTGCTTGATCCCCTGCGTCGATGAGCGCTGAGCGACACTCTTATTCTGTCTTGTGCAGTTTAGTAAGGCATCTTGCAGCTTTGATGATTTCGTAAAGACAGATGTTGCGCGCCTCCAGCATGCACCAGATCGGAGCATTCGCATATGTAAGCCTGTCTGCTGTTGGTCGCTTGCTGAGGATGGCTGTGAATTTCCTGACCGATTTGTGCACTTGTCCGAGTGATACCAGAGAAGAGCAACATCGCCCCAGATGACAGCGTCGGGGAAGCCACGATGGCATGATCGTGTCTCTGGCAACGCTCTTGCAACGGCCGAGCGCAAAGACAAGTGACGAAAGCGCTGCTTTCGCGCGCACGGTCAACACTCAAGACCCATGTCAGAAAAGCGTTGCCGACTTGCCTGAGCTGTCGAAGGTTGTCATAGAGGCGCTGACCCTGCGACCTGGAGAAGCGGTGTTGGGCTCCATTATCCGGTTCTTCTGGAACACGGACGCAACCGCAAGCTGGATGTCGAGCTAGAGGTGGCTCGGCGAAGTCGTGAAGGACGCTGCAGCCAACACAGAGCTGAAAAGCAGAAAAGGTCGAATCAAGGGCCCAGAGCTTGACAGGGTCTCGGGGAGCGGCTATGAGCAGCTCTTTGCTATCTTCGCTGCCATCTAGCCGAACTCGAACTCAGCAGAGTCTGTATTCAGCTGGTTGCAAGTAATCTGATCAGCGCCTTTTGGTAGATGGAGTAATTGACAGCTGCGGCTGCGCCCGTTTTCACTGATGGACTGAACTAGGTCCCTAGGCCCTAGGCCATAGCACGAATGCCTTGAAAAACGGGGTGCTCGCAACAGTAACAGTAACGAGCAGAAATAGTAATAGTAACTTTAAGTACGTAATCGTAACAATGCCCGGCTCTCTTAACATGGCCTCTCCGCCTCCTGCTCGAGAGCAAGATGCTCAAGAGAGCCAGGACGGGAAGGAGGTGCGGAAGCTGCAACATGCTGCATATTACATGTTAATTGTAACAATGAGCCCCCCCCCCAAAAAAAATAGTATAGGTAATTATTAAGACCACCTGCACTGTGGCGGAGGTGAAGCTGGACCTTTCTACGGGCATCTCCATTCCAACTTACTGGCACCTGTGCTGAGGAGTTCCCACCATCCATGAGCCTAAAGCCCATTCTGCCCCAAGGTGGCACCCAGCTGGGTGTAGTGCGGCAGCAAGAAGCGCCGCCCCTCTGCAGCAGCGTGGATACTGTTTGTCGTGTGACACACCGTGCAGACACGGGATGCTAAATAAGTTGTTCCGGGCGAAGAGGAGCAGAGGTGAAAGGTGCCTTCTAGGCTGGGCAGGGGGGAATGTCAAAAGGTCTGATTGCCAGAATCCCAGCAGCTGCAAAGGTGCTTTGCTTGCATGGTGCCGGAGATGTTGGGCTGGTGTGGGCACAGGTGGCAAGGAGATTGCGGGACCGAATTGGAGGCTACCCAAAAGCAATTTCAGAAAGCTTACGAGAATGTTCAGGAACCGTCTGGCTGAGTTTTTTCTTGCATTTCATGAGAATTTCATGCCTTTGCCAGTTACGATAATTGCTGCGGACCTTCGGGGCCATGGCGGAGCAATGGTTGAGGAGCGCCTCGATGAAAGCCTTGGAATCTTGACGTTAAAAATCGTGTACCAGCGTTTCCAGTCCATGGCAACGAATCCTCGAAGGCAAGAGACGAGATAGGCTCGGGATCATTCTTGGGCCTGGCGGCAAAGTAGCCAAGGACTGCAACGACTGTTGCCCGACGTTTTGGCACTGCTTCGAAGCACAGGGGACGCCCGGAATTGAAGCCGCGGTACTCCGAGAGAACTCCACGCAGTGCATGGTAGCTGCCGCAGCTGAGAAGTTGGAGTTTCTTGGCGGAACCAAGGAGCAACTCTCTCAGGGCGAGGGCGACAAAATTTCGCTCATCCTTTGTGGCCACTCCCTGGGTGGTGCTTTAGCTGCGCGTGCAGCTTCAGAGGCCGCGGTCATAGCACTGACTGATCCTCTTCTCGGAGAAAGCTGCGGCATGTTCACGACATCCCAGTTTGCTCTGGACGAGCCTTCATGCAATCATGTGAACATATCGCGGCGCAGGCTCTGAAAAGGCAGCTCCCTCTTCAGGTGCACCTAGGTCGCGATTTGGTCAGACTTACAATTGGGGGTTTTAACCGTTCGACTTAGTTACACTGCCACCCGGAATGGCAAAGAGCGGCGACTTCTTGACACAGAGGAACATGTGAGAATTCCATTTGCCCAGCCGAAACCAACCCGGCAACACCGGACATTGGACAAGTTCACGGGGTGGCTTCAGCGATCTTCAACTTGATGCGCACCGTCCCTGATTTCGAGGCGGGCCGCCATTCTGCTGGAGTCTGTGGAAGGCACGGCTGCAGAGACGCTTCCGCGCAGCGTTGCGTGGATGCAGGCGCCGAGCTGCAAATCAATGAGTTTCTCAAACTGTTTTCACAATCTGCGGAGGGTTGTGGGGTTCCGGATGCAGGCCAGACCGCGCAGCTTTACAAGCTTGGAGGAGAGCGGCTCCTCCCTTTGCGGTTCGTGAGCCAATGAGCCACTGCCAGGATGCCATTGCTTGGTCCCTATCTTCGGGAATGCTAGCAAACCCAGAAGCAGCAAGGGAGAACATCCCGCCTCGACTGCATCGCGAGGTCCATCAAGCTGGAAGCCCCGCTAGCAGCTAGCAGCCGCTAGCACTTGACAAACCTTCTACTTGTACACCAGGCTGGCCAGAAGTGGACTTGGAGAACCAACGTGTGTGAGGCGTCCAAACCACAGTGTAGTCAATATCAAAGCTTGAAACGCGGTCTGTTCGCCAGGCCATCACTTGCTGGCCCCAGTGGTTTGATGGGGTCAGCTCCCTTTTCGTCAGCTTACCAATACCCAAGCTCCTGATCGTTGGATCGGTGGACCGAATGGACGCGGCGTTGGAGGCTGCACACATGCAAGGTCCCTGCCTGCATTACGCAAGATGACACGACAATTGCCGCTCTTGTCAGACGCGCACTGCAAGTGTTGAGGTCGCTTTCGCTTGGACCTCCGGCTGCAGTCTGTTTATGTTCATGATTTCTCTTTGCAAACTGTCGGATGTTCCCACGCGACGAACTGGTGTCCACAAAGGAAGTGGTGCCTCACTCGGGACACTACATCCACGAAGACTGTCCCGACGATGTCACGGAGGCATTCGAATGAATTCTTCTCGTCCAATTGAGACACGCCTCCCAGTGTGATCATACCAGCTTGGATGCCTGCGCAGTACTATGATCTTGGGTTCCTACAGTCTGTTCTACGTGCTGTAACACATCTCTCGGTCCAAAACTAACTGTGAACCGAGGCCATTGCTAAATTCCTGCTGCAGCTTCAGCAGCAAGAGAAGGCCTTTGCCAAGCTGATGGCACAGCGAGTCTTTGTCACAGCGCTTTGAGAGAGTGCCTGTGTGTGTTTCTGTGTCAACGTAGGTTGGTGGATCCTGTGGCCCCGGAAATTAAGGCCACCTCGCGGCCGCCGGCACTTGGCCCTGCGGATGTTAAGCGGCACCGTGTGGATCAAAATCGATGCCGCATCCGTGAGCACATCGCCTTTACAAACGCGCCAAGACTGACGAAGCGACAATGCGAACAGTTCGGGAGTTCCGAGTTGAACAGATCTGCCGGATTCCGTGCTCAGCCGTTTCATAGTTGGAGGCACCATCCATTGTCGGCATCGGTAGGTGACACGACCCCTCGGTCTCTCGTCTTAGTGGCATGCAAGAGCTTCACTGGACACGAGACCATGCACAAAAGTTTGCATCCACCTAGCTGCCTACCTGGTCTAACGGGCTGCCGCTTCCGACCTGCTCCGTAGATATGATGGATGTTTGTACGCTGCTGGGCGATGCCAGGAGTCTGGAAGCTGAGTACACCAGGTTGCAGACAGCTGGCGAAGAGCAAGAGGCTGCTGACGAGATACGCATTCATGACGCGCAACTTGAACGTTTGCGCCTGCGGACGCTGCTCGAGCGTTACCGCGAGCGTCAGCCGAAAGCCGAAGAGCTGGCTGAGAGATACGAAGCAGAAATCGACCAGTTGTCAGAGGAGCAACGGCAGTTACAAGATGAAAACGCCTTACTCGCGCATAGAGATACACTTGCTATGGACCTACTAGACGGCGGAATCTGCGGAACTCCGAGCAGCCGCACAAGTCGTGGAAGCCGGACATCTCCCAGCGTCGGTGCGTTTGCTTCACCGTCCAGGGCGGCCGTTCGTCGCACCTACAACCAGGCAAAGGAAATGCGACAATGCCAAGCGAGGCTAACGGCTCTCCAACGAAGAACACAAGTGAATGAGTGGTACCTGTCGCAGCTGAAGGTCGGGTTGCAGGAGGGTTCCCGCAGCCTCCAAAGCCGGGAGAACCACTTGCGAGACCTGCGGGAACGTTTCGATGCAGCCGAGGAGCAGCGTCATCGCCTCGCGGAGGAACGAAATCGAACTGAGCGACAATTGACTTCAGAGCGAGAGGAGCTCGTGCAACTGCACAAGGAGGCCCTAGCTCTAAGGGAGGCTTGCTATTTGCCGGCTCAGCTTAAGAAGAAAAGCAGCACACTCATGAAGTTCTTGGAGGAGGGGGGGCGAGTTAAGATGGAGAAGCATCTACGAGGACGAGAAGCGGTCGTAAAGTTGTACCACAGCGTAGCACAGCAAGCCCCTGACCTACAAGCTGCAGCAGGTCGGGTCAAGTCAGAGATGGATCTTGCGCTGAGAAGATACCAAGAGCTTCAGCAGGAGCACAGTCGCCTGCTTCAGCTGTTTCACCTTACGCTTGCGCGCGGAGCTATGTCATCTAGCCCCAGAGCACGAAAATCCGTGGCTCGATAAAATGATTGGATCTTCAAGACATGGGGTGCTATCCAGCCTGGGCAATCGAAAGCAGGTATCGCTTGAACCTGGCTGTAGCCAAATTTAGTGAGCATTCCAGCATTGAATGGGGTTGGATTTGGCTATAGTAGTGCTCGCCGCAGAAGCTTTTCGGGTCGAGAGAGGTTTTCAGAATGAGGAACACGACATCAGCTCTTCGAGCAGCTGCCGGTAGCAGTGCACAAGACGGCATTACCCAACACCTGCACAGGAAGCGCTGACCAGCCTAAACCTGTATTCCCTTATTCCGCGGACCTCGTTGCGCTGGCCTTGAGGCCAGGCAGAGCTTATTGCAGGTACAGCAGGGCTGTTGTGTGGAGCAGTCACGGCTGAGCTGAGACAGGCCACTACAGATGGGCAACGCTGTGACAACTTGCGGCCAGGCAGCTACGATTGGGCCAATATAGGTAGCAAAAATTACTCCAACGGAGGGATTGTGGCGTGAGATTTCTGAGCACCCTTGGTGAAACTGCATATCCGACCTGACACTCCTGACACAGTTGCTGCCCTGCGAGTCTGGCCCTTAGCCGGAGAACAAGCAGAGAGATGGTGTGAAGCAGACACAGAAGCAAGCAAGCGAGCATGCTGTCATCCAATTTCTCGATTGATTCTAGGAGCTGTGGCCAGCGGGCAGTAGCCAGGACTAAGCTGAAGCAGGTAGACTCAGTCTTGAGCTTTAAACCGGCAATTTGCGAAAAAAAACGTGGTAATCATGGGTGGCGTGGTGGGCGGCGTGGCGGGTGTACTCGCGGCGAAGGAAGCAAACCAGCTTCTTTTTCAAGGAAAAGCAAGGCCAGCTTGGAACGAAGAAAACTAGCTTCTTTACAAGTGCAAAGCAAGACAGGGCAAAGGAGGTGGGGGGTGTTGCAAACATGGGTGCCGTGGTGGGTGGGGGTTGTGGGCAGTGTGGTAAAACAAAGTTTGCAAGACAAAACTGAGAAGGAGAGCGTTTGGGAAAGAAAGGGGAAGGCCCTCCCGGGAGGGGATGGCGGATCGCGATCAACGCCTGAGTGGCGCTAGAGTTTCGGCTGACGACAATATGTGATTCAGGGCCTGAGCGTGGGCAGGATCGGCCCTCTCTCCAAGCTTAAGTCCGAGTGTTGTGTTTGCTCCAGCATGCCTTCTGAAGACACAGTCGCTCCCAAGCTCGCCTGGAAGCACACAGACTTCCTCGAAGTTGGAACCGTGAAACAGTTGAAAACGCTGAACCGTGGCCGCGCAGGTTTCTTAGTAAAAACAATGTTTTTGCGTATATATTTGATTGCAACTGTTGCGTTCCGCTACCAACATTTCCCCCTTGCCCTAAATGTGTATTTCTTCGCAAATAGCAGTACCACGGGGCGAGCAGACCCTTGCCTTACTGCGATTGTTACCACACCAGAGGTTTATTTTTTGCCGTTGCCGATGGTGCCCCTGTCGCCGTGGTATGCCTTCGCTCTGGCGCACACGCAGATCATTGCATTGACATCAGTCGCCTCCTCCTCCTCCTCCTGCTCCTCCTCCGGCGCGAACCGTGTTTGCAACCTGCCCCCACAACAATGCAAATCACGACTCCAGCTACTTCTGCCATGTTTGAGATGCGAAGTTGCCATGCGCGTCGAAAACCTGCGAGACTCAGGGGAGATGCGAGGCCAAAACGATGCCAAAAGGTCTTGGCAGTTTTACATCGCGGTGACAATCCCATCCTCCGACTATTACGAGGGTGGCCCTGCAGGAATGCTGAGGGGAGGGGTACCCTTCGGAGTGGGGGTAGCAGCCTGACCCGGGATCAATGCACGCTGGAGGCTGCGGTTCACGTCTTGAATCAACGGTTGTGGTTGTGACGGCGGTAGGTTTCGGTCAACGGCCGGGAGTGCAAGGGTGTGCCCGGGGGGCGCTGAGGGGAGGGGCCCTCCATGTCCATCCAAACGCCGCCCCCACAGAACCCGGCGGATCAACCGATCTATATCTGTCTATTTATTTCTCTCTCTCTCTCTCTCTTTGTGCGCGCGTGTGCTTCTGTGCCTGTGTGTGTTTGCGCGTGTGTAATGCAACGTAATGTAAGTCTGTAGCACAAAATCATGTAGCGTAATGTGAGCCTGTGTAAGTACGTATGTACGTCTGTTGGTCTGTGTGTCGGTTTGTATGTCGGTCTGTGTGTGTATATATACATATACATA